CATGTGCTCCGGCGGCATGGATTAACTAAATCAGTTAATGCCATTTATCTATCAGCATTGCAGCGACAGGTTGTGTGCTTGTGCGTAATCCATCATAATTTACGCGCAGAGTGCTAGTGTCAATCAGCGTCCCGTGGACAGCAAATTCGTTGCAGTTTGCTTTGACTTCTCCATCGGCCGATCGACCTCGACCTCGTACTGTTTCGAGTGGACGAGAGATTGGCCTACCCGTCACTCCAACGGCCACTTTGTGATCGTCTGCATTGAATCAGCGTTGAAAACTCGGAGAATAAACGCAGATGCTGTCGAGGAACCTCTCAAAGAGAAGTATTCCAAACAAAACACCCAGCACAACAAAAACCTCCCGCACGAAAAAAAAACTCACATTCAGCCCGCACCTCCCCATGCATCCCATCCCTCACACCCTCACCACCAACCGCACCCCCAACTCGATTCCTCCCACCCCTCCACAACCGCGCCTCCTCCCCGTCTCGCGCCCCCCTTCTTCCTTTCACCCCAGCTCCCTCCATCCGCGCAGCTACGCGGCGGTGTGCACCAAGCGTGCTTGCTCGCTATGTGCCAAGTCTATAAAGCGCGTGAGAGTGTAGTTGTAAAACAGCTAGGTTGTGTCTAGATCGTGGTGTGCGTGTTATTCTATGCTGTGCTAAGAAGTGCCGAGAGGTTAAGGTAAGAGGTTGAGGTGAGAGGTTGAGGTGAGAGGTTGAGGTGAGAGGTTGAGGTGAGAGGTTGAGGTGAGAGGTTGAGGTGAGAGGTTGAGGTGAGAGGTTAAGGTAAGAGGTTGTGGCAAACAGTTGTGGCGAGAAATTACGGTTAGAAGTTGTAGTGCAAGCTTGCGGTGAGAGGCGGATTGAAAAGGCAGAGTGAGAACGGCAAGAGCACAGAGGGTCAGGTGAATGGGGAGTCATGCAGACCATACCTTCCTACCCGCCTTCCCACCGCCCTAACAAAACCTGCAAGAGGCTGGCATACAAGGTTGGTACACACAAACGGCACCCACCAATCCGGCCTGGGGAATCAGCACCCAGCGCGCCCCAACCAGAGAAACGTAAACACAAACAGAGAGAGAGAGCCAAACCTTACACACTGAGAGATCAACATCCTGACATTCAATCCCCTCCCTAGTATCAACCCGCCCATCCACATCTCTCTAACCAATCTCACTCTCACTCTCACTCGGCTCTCACTCCCCAATCCTCAATCCCACCCTCCACACCCCTCCCTCCCAAGAAAAAAAAACACCAACATAAAAAAACCAATCCAAGCAAACACAAAGAGCAGCCTAAATCCGCAACACCAAGCTCTGCCACACTCCAAAAGACTCGAAACTCGAGACTCGAGACTCGAGACTCGAAACGTAGGAAAAGCAAGGAGAGGGGAGGAAAGGACGGGAAACCAGTAAAGATGGCTAGTATGAGATTGGAAATCGAAAAAGGAACAAAGGAAACCAGCAGTCTACAAGACAAATACAGCTGTAGGTAGTTCACAAGCCCACAACGTATACCTGTCTAACTGACACCTACCATTACCATCCCAATCTATTACCATCCTAACCCATCCGACCACACTGACTGGCTGATTCACTTACTCACTCACTCACTCACTCACTCACGCACTCACTCACTCACTCACGCACTCACTCACTCCATTCCCACGCAACTCTTCCATCCTCCAATCTCCATGCTCCATCCCACCCCACAACCACGACACAGAACAAGACCACAGCACAGCACCACACCACATCACGAACCATAACACAGCACTCAAACCATAGCAGGGTCAAATTTACTTCTTTTTTCTTTTTCATGCCTGTCTTGAAAATTTCACAAGCAACTATAAAGGGGGCCTTGCCTTGCATCTCCACCCTCCCCTCCCCTCCCCTCCCCCCACAACTATGGTCGAAAAAACACCAAAGAGATTTTCTACGTCCCCATGCACCCAACAACCAACTAACCTCCACAACAACGTCAACGTCAATACCACCACCACAACCATCCCCCTCTCCAAACCAAGAAAGGACAACAACAAAAAAACCCCAACGTCCCCCCCACTAGGGGCGCAGAAATGGTATCACCAGCTCCCATGAAGCTTTTTCTCCTTCGCTCAACTGAAAATCAACAATCACAAAAAAAGACAAAAACCACAAGAGTTAATGCAGATAAATATTCGATTTCCCCCATCTCCAACAAAAAAAAAAAAAAAAACGCCAATGACGAATGCAAATAAACAAAAACCCCCGAGCGGACAATCTCGCGCTGATCAGCTAGCGCCCGCCGTGCCAATCTGCTTTTGATAGGCCGGTGACCGGTAGCTATGTCGGTGCGGCGACCCCGTGCGATGGCTCTCACCCGAAGCGCTTGGATTTCGGGCGTAGGCTGGGTCAGGGCTGCCCATGTCGTTTGGAGCGGTCGGGCTGTGCTGGATACTCGGTGTTCCAAACGCAGGTTGGGGTTGTCCGGGTGCTTGGTTCTGGCGGACCGAGGCTTCGCCGGCAAGGGCGGTGGGGTTATTCTTTGCTTGTGTGATTTGCGGTGCATTACGTTGGTCTTTTCGAGACGCGGTTCCGCTCAGGTTGGCTGGACTAGGCGAGGTAGCAGGTGGTGCTTGGATGGGGTGTTTTCCTCTTTGTTCCCATTGTCGCATAATTTCTTTCGCGCTCATGTCAGATGCACCGTCATCGCTAAGTAGCTCCATAATCTCAGGAGGGACCTAGATAGGCGTCAATATCAGGCAAAGCCAAAGTCATGACCTAGACTGACCTCTGAGAATTCATCATTGTTTTCAATGAGATCGAACACGACCTTGACCGCAGCTTGATCAACCGTCTTGACTTCTTTGTCGTTGCTTTCTCGCAGAATGTTTGGTGCCATGACGGTGGCAATGTTCCATGTGTCCATTTTGTTGCCAGATTCTTCATCCACAGTGTGGAATGAAGAAACCCAGTTGAGGAAGCAGAACAGAACTTCCATGGTATCGCGATGTGCTTTGGGCAGAAGACAGAGCACAAGGTGCAACACCTTCTTTCTTTGCGCTTCGTCTTCAATGTCTGTTCGAGTTAGCAGACGATCTAGCAAACCTCCAATTTGTTAACTCACCATTGGCGACCATGAACAAGCGGTACAGCTTCAGTGTCAAGACTGGATCGGGCATCAACCGCAGAAACCGTTTCAGCAGATTGGCGAGGATGACGGGGTTCTTGTTGTTGAGGTCCACTTGTTGCACGCCTTTGGCATCAATCTCCTCCTCCAACTCTCTAAGAGCTTTCAGGTTTCCGTTCTTCCGGAAAACTCCCTCAATGGACATATCCATGCTTCTCATGGCCGTAATACAGTCCTGTAGCAGAGCAGGGACCTTGAGCGCGCCTGGGCCTACACCTTCAGTGCATTCATCGCCGTACTTTTCCACCAGGTACTCGAGAGCTTGCCTAAAGGTTGCCTTTTCCGAAACTGGCTTTTCAACCCCCGAGACTCCCTTCTTGGGCTTGCTCTTCGCCTTACCAAAGCCAATTTTGCCCCAGAAGTTGTTCTTCTTGGATTCAATCAAATCGAGTAGATCACCTTGATTATATTGGTTGTCGTCTAGCAAAAGGCCCAATTGAAGGACGGCAAGCCCCTTGAGCTTGAAGTACTCGAGCGGAGACAGCTCCGAGAAGAAGGTACGAGGCCGTCCCTCGGACATGTGCTGTAATTCCTGGCCACCAGAGCAGTCGCGACGATGACCATTGTGCAGCCGCGGCTGATCGTCGCGTCCAAGCAAGGCGCTGCCACCTGCCCTGAAGGCGTTTGGCCGTTGTTCTCGTTGCTGTTCAAGAGCTGCCATGCGAGCAATGTCGTCGAGCGCGAGCGAGTTTACTGCGAGAGTCACATTGTCAGACTCGTTGCCATCACGCTCTTGAACAATCTGCATGCCTCCGCGCGATTCGGCCTCGCCCCCCGCCTCCATACCTTCTGGTCCATCAATGATGCGTGATGCACGAGCACGCTTCATGGTGTTGGACAAGTGCTTGTCCAGCCTGGTCGATCGCAGGCGCTTGATGTCGGACATGGACTGTTCGTAAGCAGCATTGGAGCTGAGTTGGCTTTCCGTAGTCGACGCATCTCCGTACGACTTGGAACGAGCATCTTGGCGCAAATGCGGTGGCTGCAGATCGGATTCCTTACCCCCCAGACGATGGCCCTGCGAGGAATCGTACCCAGCGAGATTGGGATCATCTACATGTCATTAGTTGGACGAATGTAATCTCGATAGCGGCTCCAGAAATCTGAGGCAGGGTGTCAAGATGAGTAGTGATGGTAGGTAGGGGCGTTTGAGGAGATTGGCAACTTACCAGACGTATGAGGGAGTGCACCGCTAGATCGAAGGGTCGCCATCAGTCGGGCGTGGGCCACATTGAGAAGGTGGACATATTGCCGTAGTTTGGTGACTGGTTCGAAGCCGCGCTCTGCATCCGGCTGTGCTGCTGCGCAAGCGGGACAAAAGATCTTGTGTTTGGATTTGCTCCAGTATGCGTTTCGTGCATCGCCACGTAGGTCTGCGTTACAGCCACGGCAGACGAGGCACTGGTAGTTGAACGACATGTTGTTCAAGCGGACACATTTTTCCTCGACTTGTAAATCGCAAATCGGGCATGAATCCGCCCATCTGGGCACAAGGACGGCCGCTTCAGCAGCCTGGTCGCGCTGTGCCTCCTCTTCGAGACGGGCATCGAGCGAGTTGACCTGGGTCAAGAAGTTGGTGATGCCGCTTGCGCTTCGGGTTTCACGTTCCAGCTTGAGGGCTCCCTGCAGACAGATGCGAATGAGGAGCTTCAGATAATGGGCCAGTCCAGTGACTAGGGACAAGAGTTCCTGGGTTACGCCGAGCCGGCGCACCCCGGTTCCTTGGGATTGGGTAAGTAGCGCAAAGAAGGCAACTACTTTTTTACAAAGCAGTTTTGATTCACGCGAATAAGTCAGCCCTTTGGGCGTCTTGGAGACCAACTGCGCATCCAGTTCGTCTGCAGCCGAGAATAGCAGCTCCACGTGCACGATGAACTTTTTGGCTGCCATGACCCCATCGACATAGGCACCATTGCTAACGTGCAGCAGCATGTCGGAAATGCAAGTCGCCGACTTTTCCTCAAAGGCAGACAGTGTCTTCCAGATCCAGTTGACCTTGGCTTCAATCTCCTCCTCTTGCTGTCGCACGCTTTCGCGCACCTCGTCCGTCGCGTTACTGTCGTCACCGTGGAAGCGCTCCGTGACCGGCTGGCCGGTGGAGTGCAATCGCACATTCCAGTACTTGTGTATCATGTAGCATTCAGGGTGCCAATGCTGATTCTGTCCATTTCGAAAGATTTCGACGAATTGCTTCAATATCGAAGTTTGGCAGCCGTTGCATCTTTGGGCGAATTTAGTGGAGTAGTGGTAATGGCAGTAGACGCTGCCTTCATGTTCGTAGTAGCTGTCCGAGGCACCGAAGACGGTCGGACATACCGAGCAGGTAAAGTGTTCGATGTGGTATTTTCGGTCGAGTGCGGTAATGTATGACCCACGCAAGGCCTGGCCACACTCAAAGCAGAGGAGATCGAGGCGACGGAAGTAGTCGGTTTCGCAGAGAGGGTACTGCCCTGGGGGCTTTTCGGGTACGGGGAAGAATTTGGAGGCTACAATTTTGCCACAGTCCTATACAAAGTCAGCTCGCGTCCCCAGATTGTCTCTCAGATGGCAGAAGATTCGTCTAGCCGGCGCGCGTAATTTCCCCCCAGTTGATGCACCGTGTCTGTACCAACGGCATGGTGCTGGTCACATGGTGCTGGCCGCGCTCTTCTGTAGGGTTCGCAATAGAGAGTGGAAGCTTACGTGACAGGTGAAGCACTCGAGATGATAGGTGTCGCCCAGCGCTCGCACAAACTGGCCGGTCAGGCCTTCTCCGCACTTGCCGCAAATCTTGCCACTGCGCTTGGGTTTTTGTGGCGGGGCAAGGTCGCGGTTATGGTCCTGTGGGTCGGTGGAGGATCGGGTTGGGTAGGCGTTGCGGTCCTGGGTCGCGAGCGTGTTGTTGGAAGATTGCGCTTCGTCGGTGAGGCGTCTAGAGAGGCCATTGCTGCGAGATTCGTAGCCGTGTTGTGGCTGGTGGAGATGTTGTTGTTGTTGTTGGTGATGATGATGATGCTGTTGTTGCTGTTGCTGTTGCTGCTGCTGCTGTTCCTGGTCTTGCGGCTGCTGTTGTTGCTGCTGCTGCTGCTGCTGCTGCTGCGGCCGCTGCGGGGCACCGTGCCCATCCATGGGTGGCGGTCCCTCCGCTGGCGTGCCCATGTCCTGCTACGCCAGGGTTGGTGCCTGCGACGTCGCTGTGATGATGTCTGGGGGGCGAAAGAGGTGTGGGAGCCGAGATGCTAGAAAAGGGCGCGTGACTGTGCAGAGACGTGGACTGGCGATGGGGAGAGGCGGAGGGGGAGGTTCAAGGGTAGCAGCCAAGGCGATGGCATGTACGGAATTCGGCGACCCAGAGCAGAGTAGGAGAATTGTAGCTGTGTCGGGGGTTGGGGGAGATCTGCAGGCGTGGGTTGTTGGCGCTGAAGAGGCGGTGGGGTTTAGTGGAGGAGGCGCTTAGGCGGGCGGATGCGCAGTGGCTGGGTTGTGTTGTGTTCAGCGGGCCCAGGGGGGACATTGGTACGGATGAATGCAG